ATAATGCAGCAATGGAGATCTGGGACTGGGCTAACGGCTGCTGGCAGATAGATCCGCATTCTAATTCTGATTCCATTGTGTTCTAGCTGTGTGGCTGTGGGCAATTTATTTAAGCCACTCTAAGTCTCGGTTTCATCTGAAAAACGGAGGTAATGATAGTCTTTCCCTCACAGAGGTGTTTGGGGATCAAATGAAATAATGCATTTAAAGTGCTGAGCATGGTAGACTTGTTCACTGCTGTTGCCGCTGCTTTTATTATAATCTCCACGTATAGTGCAGTACTCCTCAAACCTGGTCTCAGCTCTGCCCCTCACCTGCTGGGTCACCTAAAGCAAATTGCTTTGCTTCTTGAATCCTCAATTTTCTTATTTCTGAGACAGTATTAGAAGCCGCTGCAGCTGTGAGAAAGGGGCTGTAGAGATCTTCCGGGTGGGTTGTGGGGGAGGGGACACTGCCAAAAAGTCCTTTTTTGCTTTGCTCTCTTGAGCCCTGCCTATATTGAACAGCACGATGCTTTAAGAAACTCTGGACAAACTTGAGACCCACTATTCTCACTGCCTTGACCTCCATGTCCCCACCACGCTCAGACCTGGAGTCACCAAAGTTGACTCCACACCCTGTCTCCCTTCCACCTGGTTCTCATCCTTCTCCTTTCTAAGTGCGTACGGCCTTCTTATCCCTCCGATTATCTACATCTTCCTTGCCTTGTTATTCTCACTATATTTGGGGAAAGAGGAGAAAGAGAAGGGAATGTGGGCCCTTTCCCTTTTCCTGCCTCCTTTTTTTGCCCTTGGCAGATCCAGATGTGGATATAACGCGTAGCAGGCAGCAGGACCAGTTCCTGCCAAGAGCAGCATCTCCTTAGCCCTCACTCTATGGTGATGTCACTGTTCTCTGTTTCCATGGCAACCACAGGCTGGGAAGATGGAAAAGAGGAGAGATGAGTAACCAGGAGAGAGCCAATGAGATGAGCCAGAAGCACCGGGTGATCCATGGGGCCATAGGGAGGCGGGAGAGGGAGGCCTACTCAGCATCTTCAGCTGTTCCCTGGACCCTCCCTACCATCTGGACACCTCCACGGGGGGATGTGCTGATGGCACAGGGAGACATGTGAGAGATAGAGCCCAAAGAAGATGAGCTGGAGACTCCACTGACCCAGGGAGACCTCCTTTGTCTCTTCAGGGCCTAAGTTTATCGATGATGACTGCCCCTCCCCCCACCCCCAAGTACCTGCAACTGGGAATTTTTCTTTCTCTTTGGCTGGTAATGGTGGTGAGGCTCTGTGTTTCTGCCTGCCATGGAACTGTGGGGGCTAAAAAAAATTAATATTTTCCTTTCGCCTTTCTAAATTCTTCTAGCCAACAACCAAATTAACACCGATAGATTAACAGGAGAAAATCAAATTTTAATACATACACATGGGGAATTCATATAAGCATGGAAATTCCAAAGACAATGAGACAACATTGAGTATATATGAAATTTTTGTACAAAGGAGAAAGAGGGAGGGGTGGCATATTAGATTTCAGAAGTGAGAATGGGTGACTTACAGGTAGTTGAGAAAGAGCAGAACACACATGGGGGCAAATTATTGCTAGGCAACTCGAACAATGGGACACAGTATCTAGCTAACAGGCTTCTGCCTGAAGCCCTCTTATTTACCGTTCTTAATTCAAATTAGTCTAAGGCAACCACCTAAGATTCCCTTTCAGGAGTAGTCCTTTTCATCTGAGTAGGAAAGGTGGGGAGGGGGTGTGTCAAAGGTTCTTTCTGAGTCTTGTTTCTTAATAAACGCTTAAAATCAATATCCCAAAAAGGCAGCTTTAGGGTGGCAAAACTCCGGTTCCCTTCGGAATCATCAGGTCTCTCCAAACCCCTTGGTGAACGGTGTATTCAGAAGCACTGTCTTTGGGAAGAGGCCTAGCGCCCAAGCCTGCCACTTACTAGCTAGAGACCAGAGCAAATCCCTTCCCCTTTCTGAGTCTCCTTTCCTCCCAGATGGAGGAAGGCCATCTACTTCTCAGGGCTGTCATCAGGATGAAAAGAGAAAACATGGAAAGCCTAACACACACTAATACTCAATAAATGGTGACCCCTCCCTTCTCCCTTTTGAGTTTCCTTCCAGGGCAGCCATCTCAGAGGTGCACAAGAATGATCCAAGGCCCTCTGAGACCTTGAACCAATAGAAAAGGATCCAAGTATATCTCCTCACTGAGGTCACCAGGTGCCTTCAGATACTGCAGAGTAGAGAAGTGTCCTCATCTCTCCTGTTTCTCTTTAAATAATTCATTCATTCAACCAACTTTAATTGAGCACTTTCTATGCCTAGGCACTGTGCTGCACTTAGTGGAGATCCAGGGTAAACAGAACCATGGCGCCTTCCCTCTGTCAACTGAAGAAAAATCCAAATCTGTAGAGAATTTTTACCAAAATTGATTTGAACCAAATTGAGGATAAGCTTGGAAGGAAAATCTCAATAGACTGAGATAAATGCTGCCAAGTGACAGTTTGCAGTTTCTTTCGTGCATTTGAGATTAAGGAAGATAACGTGAAGGTGGGAGAAAGCAAGGTGGGCGTTGGATTATAGGGTAGTTAAGATTCTGTGCTCTCTTGAAAGTGGTCCCGCTTTAGAAAGAGGGGTCTGAAAGAGGGCATCTCAAAGGTATGTTAACCTAGATACACAGAAACAATGGACTGGTCTTGCTTAAGGCAAAGATAAGTGTTTTACTGAAGAAGTTATGTGCCTGGAGCATGGCTACCTCCTTGACCTGCCCAGTTAGGAATTTATGATCAGATCACCCTGAGCTCACAATACGGGGGATAACAGCCACAGTGGGTGGAGTGGAGTGTTCTTTCTGCCACTAGGAAGTTACTTCCTCGTTCCCCAAGAGTTCTAGATATTGTGGGTCTGAGAGATCAAATGATGGCAAAAGATAAGAGATGTACTCAATACCAGTTTGCTTCTGAGAAGCTGATGCCTGTGGCAGAATGCTCCCAGGAAGGAAAATAATGGCTCTTCCTGCCCAGGGAGGAGAGGGTATAGCTCAGAGTGAATAGCTCAGAGTGAAGGGCAGTCACCTCCGCCTTCCCGGAAACCAGCTGTCCTACCTGTTGCTGTCAGAATAAAGTCCAAGCTCTTTAGCCTCCATCTGTCTCATTGGTCTAACTTATTATTGAAATCCCTCTCCATGAAGAGTACCTGACA